TGAAGGCTATCCTGAGTATTGTATTACGTCTTTAACCCTATCTTTGCCATTACTTAATATATACCTCCCTTGACTGACATATTTTGTGCACTTCATATTATTACTGTAGAAAATAATAAAAGGAACATCTCACAACCAATTAAAATGGTTTCGCTTGAAAGAGTCCTAAGCCCTCCTTAGATCATTGATGAGTAAATTACCTATATCATAACAGGAAGTAGTGTACAGGCCTAATCTAAAAAGAAAAATAAATAATAATGCTACATTGCATTCTAATAATTTTGGATTATTGTGTTTCATGTTGCATTACGCTCCCATAATCTTTGCCTTAAGCAAATGTTCCTATTCGCTGAGTAATTTTGTAATGAAAATGAAATTTGTGCTGTGTTCTGCTATTTTTTATGACAAGCATTCTATCAATCAAAATCATTATTTATTCACTAAATATATGATATACAACATAAAAGCTCGTTCACCAATGGTGTTCTTCCACGAGCTCGTGATGAAATAGAAGAAATACATATCAATACAATATATAAATCTAAATATATACAAAATGTTCATCATACAATTAAAATATCTAAATAAAAACAATTATAAAAATACATCACTTGGGTTACACGTTTAACATGTTTTAAATTTCTTTTTGAATAAATTGAGAGATAGTGGCAGCTCATTAAAATCAATATTGTACTTATTTCAGGTTCCATTCCTCATAATCAGTATCTGAATGACGTATTGAATTTTCGCCAGCTCGTGCACATACCAGTCAATGGTAGCGATATTAGGGGGGGGGGGGCGGGGGGGAGAGACAGAGATTAATCCAATCGAATAATACATTGAAGTTTATGTATTCACAAATATCTAAACCGAGTAGTCCCATTAATGTGATATTCAAATTATTGAGAGTAATTGTTATTGTCGTGATGTAATAGACAATAACTGGATTTATATATGTTTCTCCTGACGCAAATCCAGTTATAACAATTACTATCAACACTTCAGTACCCGCTGCTTAGGTTGGACTCGAATTCAACCCTGGCCATCCGGCGCAACCTCGGTGGTCTAGAGGTATGATGCCAGGCTAGTGATCTAGAGATCGTGGGTTCGAGTCCCACCCGAGAACAACTTGCAATTTTTTCGCAATTGTTTTCATATGTACTGAGTATTCAGTACATTTCCACGTCAGGTAGGGCAAAATTACACCTATACGTGTATTATTGTTTATTGAGATGCGTTGAATGTATCTTAGAATTATAGTTAGGCCTAAATGTACATGTGTTAAATTTATATAAAATTTGGTACGTTATCAGATAATTTGAATATGTCGAAATTAGCGTGAATTTAATCCACTAAATGCGTGACGTAACTTTATAGATACATTGCAAATTAAGGCGTTTCAAACGTCAACCGCTAATAGTGAGAGTATTCTAGTAAACGATAACGAAATATTTGTTTATAAATTGTATGTTATTTTCGTTCTCGTTTACCAGCATAATACCTAAAGTTTTTCTTTTAATTTTATTTTGTAGCTATTAGCTCAACGCTGTCTACTTTGGTGTGTAAATACACTTCGCAAGGAAAAGGTAAACATGTATTGTAATGTTAAAGCATTCATCATGTGACATAACAGTATAATCAGAACCTTTTTAATATTTTATTTCATTCATTCATGGTTTATATATATATAAATATATATATATATGTTATATATATATGTATATGTATATAATACTGTATATATACTGTATATATATAATATATATATAATATTTATATACAGATCAATAATAATTGCAGTGTTGAAATATACATAAGCATATGATGTTATTAATGAACAATTTTGCAGGTAGGCCTAGTGTAGTATGCGAGGCAGAAATACCAGATGTATTCGACATTACCCTGTCATCTAAACCGGATAGTATCATCACATTCTCGACTTCATCTGAGGGCACATTGAAAAAAGGCTTGTTAAATTTTAAACTTGTATTAAATATCACTTTTATAATCTGCTAATAAGTTATTATATATATATATATATTATTTACTTTAATAATTTTTTTTAATTATTTATTTAGTAAATAAAATTTAGCAAATAAATAAATGATTGAACATTAAACTAAAATGATTTGTTTGAACACATATTTTCGCAAAGGAAATGGATAATGCTCTGACATGCCTTAGTGCATTAAGATAACGAGACGGGCCTTTAAGTATGGTAAAGTAATCTCCACCAATCAACACATCTGATTTGCTTAAACTCCTCGGAACTATCCACGGTGTATTAAAATTTATTATTTTTTTCTGTCTGCAACATGTGTATGACAGTATTACTAGCCAATCCACTAAAAACTGCGTAATCACAACTGGGCAGTAATCTATTGAATTTACATAATTTAGCATGAAGCAACACAATTACCCTAATTAATGCCTTATGTTTTATGTTACAAGGAATGTATAGAGTTGTTGCAACTCTGAGCAATCTCCAGGAGAACACACTTTTAGAAACTGTGTAAGTTTTGATTAAACTTTCTGACTCAAATATTATAATCTTTTTTAAAATGTACTGTACTCCAAAAATATGACAATGATAAGCCTGGTGCACGCTGCTGCTCTGAGGTTGTGGACCGACGCGATTCCCACGACGCGACGTTTTGATCATTTTTATCGACAATTCGCTCAGTCGTCAAGTTCTCAGTAAGAGCGGAGATAGATTCGTCGTAATATTTAGTCGTTCATAACTATATTTTTCCAGCAATGGAGATGAGTTAATAAGTGCTTCTGACATCCTGGACATTGATGTTTATGACGAATTTCAAGAGAAAATAAGTACCACTTGTGAGATCAAATTTCCTGTTATTAAGGTAAAAGATTTGCAGTGATTCAGTTCACTTTTTTTACATGACCATAAGCAACGGTTTGAGTAGTGATTGTTCTCACAATGTTGATGTTAACAAGAAAAACAAACCCAAGAAAATTACACTTGATAACATGTACGCCTACTCTATTATAGATAGTACCTGCATACATCCATATAGTAAAGACCACTTTTACAATGGACACTTTCGAGTGTCAATAAGGCTTAAAAACTGACCAATTAGAACAGCACCAGGAATGCTTGGTCGGCTTAAAGCCTGTTTTCCACTAGGCGAATTTATTTGCGCGAATCGAAGGCGTCGGTTCGGTTCCTGAACTCTGATTGGTTGCGCACTTTTTTTGCTTCGCAAAAACTCCGATAGAAATGTGAATGCGCATGCGCACGAACCGACAATTTTGGTTCGCGCGAATAAATTCGTCTAGCGGAAAACAGACTTAATGGGGTATTTTTTCATCTACTTGCAAGGT